TCAGGCTGCGTACGACAAGATCCGCACTGCTAAAAAACAAGCCGAGGAGAGAAACCGAAAGCTCGATGACAAGAGGAAGAAGATTAAACTGGGTTAGCTAGTCCTCACCTACTCTCCTCGATTACTCAGATTGTCAGTGTAATGCTGAGTGACATGTGTGTGTGTTTTGTAGATTTGGAGGCACGTGAACGGCAGGCAGACACTGTGAAAACAGAGGAGGTTAAGATCACACGCACATTAGAAGAGGAGGTAAGAGCTTGGCTTGATGACTGGATGTGTGTGTGTGTGTGTGTGTGGGTGTGTCAACTCAACAAAAGACTCCTAGATTAGTGACTATGTGCTTGGAAGTCCCTTGTAGTCGTTTTGGATGCATTGTTCTGCTAGAGATGACTAGTAACCAAGGAAACACTAATATCTACATTTACATTCATGCATTTGCAGACGCTTCTATCCAGAACGACGTATATTGCATTTAGGGTTTATAGATTTCTATATCTGTCTTAATATCAGAAATCACGTTCAAACGATCACGCCTCACCTTTCTATGGGAGCTCGTTTCCGCCACCATGGCTTTGTAATTGCAACTTTTTTCACGTATTTCTGACTTTTTTTCTTGCAATTTTGATATTTTTCTCACAATTGACCCTTCGGGGAGTTTGATTGACAGGTGATCTGACCAATCATAATCCGCCATCCGCCGAATCCGCCATTTTTGTCCGACAGAGCCGTCAGGAGAGTTAGTAGATTAACGTTGGAGGATTTGAACTTGAGGAACGGTGTGTACTGGCGTCTCTCCGCGGTTAAAACAACATTCTGATGTTCATTCATGTTTATTTGATGCTATAAATGAACTAGAAGGAAGAGATGATCGGTTCACGAGCCGCTTTAACTGAGCGATCTGTCAGACACACATTAAAGAGTCACAAAACTGTATTTATTGTTTACATTTCTTTAAGAAATGACCAAATTTTAAAGTTGAGACTTTGTTTCATTCCAAAAGTAAGCTGGTCTGTCAGTGTGTTGTCAGTGTCCTCTCTGCTCCGCGATGTGTGTTTCACTGCGTGAGAACAGGGTGTGTGTGTGTGTGTGAGAGCGGCGTGACTTGTCGGACATAGCAACAGTAACTAAAGGGGGCGGGTCTTTGCGAACGATCAATTCTGATATTTTTTTCACAATTCTGAGTTCAAATCTCGCAATTCTGACTTTTTTCCCGCTATTCAGATTTTTTCCTTACAATTCGGAGTTTAAATCTCGCAAGTTTAATTAACCAAATTCTGACTTTTCCCACAGAATTCTTACTTTTTTCTCACAATTTCAGACTTTTTTCTGGTAATTCTGACTTTTTTCTCACAATTTCTGACTTTTTTCTAGTAATTCTGACTTTTTTCTCACAATTTCTGACTTTTTTTTCTGGCTATTCTGACTTTTCTCACAATGTCTTGCCTTTTTTCTCGCAATTCTGACTTTTTTTTCTCAAAATGTTCTTTTTCCTTACACTTCTGTAGGGCTGGGTATCGTTCAAAATCTTTCGATCCGGTGCCAATTTCGATACCTCAGTTTCGATACCGGTTCCTAACGATACTTTTTTCGATACCAATTTTATGAAATCCATTTTAACAAGATTACATAACACATTACCTCAGAAAAACTTTGGTTTTATTTTTTCAGTTTGACTCATGCTCCTTAGCCAGTGCACAAAGGAACAAAAAAAGCACAAAGGAACAAAAAATGTTTTATAAAAGTGCTCATGCTCACCAAAGCTGAATTTTTTAAAATAAAAAATACAGTAAAACTTGTAATATTGTGAAAATATTTCAAAATGTAATTTATTGAAATGAATTGAATTCAAAGCTGAATTTTCTAAATCATTACTTCAGTGTCACATGACCCTTCAGAAATATGAAAACAGTTTGCTGCTTAATATTTTGGAAACTATGATACATTTTTCATGATTCTTTGATGAATAAAAAATTCAAAAGAACATCATTTATTTAAAAACGAAATATATTGTAACATTACACATGTTTCAATGTCACCTTTGATAACTTTAATGCATCCTTACTGAAAAGAAATTCTGACTAACCAACACATTTTTGAATGGCAGTGTAGGCCTACATTCAGTAGGTTATTATTGCAATATAAACACTGTCAACAAGGTATCTCTTCATTTACCAATCGAAGACGAGCATCTTTTATGTTAACTGCACTGTCAAGGTCTTCATCATATTTGTCGTGGTACCGGTCTTTGCAATTATTTTACCGCAAATACTGCATCGCGCGCTGTTGGCATCGAGCCTGGAGAAATGTACCCACACTTTTGATCGACTTTTCCACATCTTTAAGGTATTATGTGTGTGTGCTCGCGTTTCATGAATATGTGCGCGGAGAGTTTGTGTGTGTGTGTGTGTGCTCGCGTGTCATTGAGTATGTGCTCGCGTCTCATATAAGTATGCGCGTGGAGAGTTTGAGCGTGCACGCGCGCGTCTCATATGAGTATGTGCGCGGAGAGTTCCACGCGTCTTGTGTGTGTAGAGTTTGCGTGTATGTGCATTTCATATGTATTTGTTTGAGCACTGACGTTGACGAGTTAACTTCTAAGGTATCGAAATCTGGAACCGAACAACATGTCATTTTTCGATACTCGATAGTATCAAGGCAATTCGGTCGGTACCTAAAAAGTATCGAACTCTGTACCCAGCCCTACACTTCTGAGTTTAAATCTCGCTATTCTGACTTTTTTCTCACAATTTCTGACTTTTTCCTTACAACTCTGAGTTTAAATCTTGCAAGTTTAATTAACCCAATTCTGACTTTTCCCTCAGAATTCTGACTTTTTTTCCGCAATTCTGTTCAAATCTCGTAATTCATCAATTTTTTCCACTCAATTCTGAGTTTAAATCTTACAATTCTGACTTTATTTCTCACAATTTAGATTTTTTTTCTTGCAATTTTGAGTTTATATCTCTTTTTTCCATGGCAGAAATAAGCTTCCATACCCTTCTGTCCTGAAACTGCACGCAGACATCAGTGGTTTGATTGGTTTTATTAGTGAACAGCCAATAGGTGTCAGTGTTTGACATGTGCAGTCTGAGTGACGGGTTACTGCAGGTCAGTGTGTATGAATCGCTCCAGGAGTATTGTTTTGTTAATTCTAGGAATGTGTGTGTGGTTGCGTGTTCGTCTGTTGTAGATCGCCCGTCTGAGGGAGGAGGGTTCACGAGAACTACAGGAGCAGCAGAGACTCATACGAGAGCAGATCCAGAGAGAGACAAACACACACACAGGTGCTTAAACACACATTAATGCTATCCTATGACACTTTTCTTCTTTTTCTTTTTTTTTTACCAGTTTATGTTAAAATTTTAAGTTAAGTTAATCAATTCCAATTGAATGAGAGATAGTAAATGATGACAGAATTATGTTTTTTGGGTGAAAGTCTAAATTGCAAATCCAGAAACAAACTCATTTTCATTTATTGTTTCCTCAATACTCCAAGAATCGTGTTTATGTGCATTTAAACCTTTGCTTTTGAAAGCTTTAAACCTCTAGTAAACCGTTTCAGGTACTATTACTGTCAAATGGATCCAGATCCAGAACTATCACAAGAGCAAGGAAGATAATGAGATCGACCGATATTGAGTTTTTATTACCGATACCAATTATTTGCATGTTTATGTGCACGCTATATGGAACCGATATTTATTTATAGTTTTTTTTTCTGTTTTTGACAATTATAACAACAGTACTAAACTCATTTTTTATTTAACACTTTTTAAATACTGTAATGCCTTCAATTTCACTTATTCATTGCATACAAACAAAACACACTTTAAAATCAATAAATTGAGTCTGAAAGAGGGCAAAAATAAAATATATAGTGCACTGTCACTAAATCTTTGATCAGGTAAACAAACAGGTAACGAATATAGGATATAAAAAATCATTATAACAAATTTAAAAAAGCATAAACCAAAAGCATTCTCAAAATGGCCATAAGATGACGGCGTTTATCGGTGATTCCGATATTATAAAACCGAAATATGATTATGGGAAAATGCTTAAATATCAGGGGAAAATATCGGTTAAACCGATTATCGGTCGATCTCTTAATGTAATATAATAAAACAGAATAATGGTTAACATTCAAATATCACTCAGAATACGAGCTAGAATATTGAGAAAATACAAATAAATTCCTTGCAGCAAATATTAATCCAAACATCCATGCCGGTCGCTACAACAGGTTTATACAGAGAAGTCCCCGTGAGGTCAATCATTTTATCCCTTAAAACTCATCTTTGATCACCAAAATTACATATTTAAAAGTTTTTTTCCTTGGAAAAATCTTCGTAATGCTTTAAAATATCTCGAATGAAACTCGACACCCTTGCCTCATTTAGTATGCGTGGTTCTATGAATATGCGAATGAGCCCCGCCTCCACTCACTCGCTCAGCTCAGAGATCCACTGGTTGACGATCACACGTTGATCTGATTGGTTACAAGGTCGTTTGTGACGTCAGCGATTTCAAAAAGGAGAAAATACTCCGCAATGGTTTTGACGAATGAATTTACACATGGTTTGTCTTAAAAACACCACATAAACATATAAACGACGTATAAACAACATTAAAAACTGAATTTTCACCACAGGGGGACTTTAATGTCTCCATAATATTAGGACATGGAGATGAATGCATCTGTTCTGCACATGAACATCTCACGTACAGTAAATAGGTGCTGATGGGTAAAAGACTGTGGATAGAAGACACTGTCCATCACTGAGGGTCAATGAAAGTGACTGTGTGAGGAAGATACAGAGAACACTGGAAGCCATGGCTGTGTGTGAGTGATGTCTGCACAGCGTTTGCACGCTAGTGAGGCTCTCGGCGGGAAGGGCGCGTCCCTCAGGTGCTTTAAAGCGGGACGGGAGCCTGTGAATGTGTCTGTTTGATGGATGATTGAATGAGAGCTCATAGCTAACTCGTATTCCTTTGTTTTTGTTCTTCACAGACTCTTCGACAGGACACCAGGGCAGCAAAAATGTGACTCCTAAACTGAAGGTACTGTTGGTGCATTGAAGTGATAGACTTATGCTTTCCATGCGTAAGAAACCACATAGAACAATAAACTAATTAATCAATTAAAGCAGAATTTGATAGTTCTGCCTTTGTGCTTTACGATTAACACTAAAATGCAATAAAAACACTAGGTCACTGTTAGGGCTGTCAAGCAATTGCAATTTTTAATCTAATTAATTACATGCCGATTAATTAATCGCACATCAATTTTGGCAAAGAAAAAAGAAATTACCCCCAAAAGATCATTTAAAGTTAAAGCATCAAATAGACATTACAAGAAAGATTTAATTTGATTCAACATAGCATCTATTACACACAAACCTTTAGGCTACAACAGCCATGATTTGTTTTTCAGAAGCTGCATCTGAATTGATATTTAGAAATATTTACAGATCAAAACAGGTTAGTTACCAACATTCATTCTTCAGAATATCTTCCGCAAAAGAAATAAAGTCTGAAACAACACGAAGGTGAGTAAATGTAAATTAACATAGTTTTCATTTTTGGGCAAACAATCCCCAAAATATGAAATTATTATTTATTTTTTTATGAAATGATACCCTAAGAAAGAAACTAAAACTGCCAGTAGGTGGCGGTAAACATTTAAATGAGTAAGTCATTGAATCATTCGTTCATTCGATTTGTTCAAACGGCTGAATCATTCAGGAGTGAAGTAAATGGCTCTTTTTATGAACGAGTCATTGAATCATTGGTTCACCCGATTGATTCGCTCAAAACGAGGATTCATCCAGAGACGAAACACCGCTGTGTGTTCACAACAGTTCTGCTCAGGGTATTATATATAATTTTCTTTGGAAAAATTAGCAAAAACAGACAATATTGTGTCTAAAATATAACAGAATATTACTTCTTATTTATTGAACTGGTGTAAAACATCAATATCACATTTGCACTCGTGTGATTCGGGAAAAAAACAGCACTCGTGTGATACTGAATATAGATGTACGATTGGTCTTGATTTAAAGAAGACATTTGGCAGGTTTTTGTAGAAGTGAAATAAATTAAGAAAGTGAAACAGAAAAAAAAGTTATAGAAGTTTGAGTTTATGAAAATGTACAATGTAAAAAATTTAATTATTCATATTTTATATAAAATATATATTTTCAAAACCTGGGTGACTCTAAAACTGCAAAAATATCAAAGGCAAAAATCTAATTGTGTTTCAAATTTTAGGTTGATATCTCAAAAGATGAGCTTTCAATGAGAGTGTGTGTGTCTGCAGTACCGAACGCTTCCACTAGGGCACAGACTCCATTACTACCCATATAAGGGCGCCTCCATTTCCATATGTGTTTTGAGTGATCTGAACCATTATTTCCACAATTTTCATACAATTTATGAAGTAGGCAGCCTATTCAGAAGTAATATGAGAAGTTTGGCAGATTTTGATATGAATTCAACCTCTAATGCTACGTTCACACCGGACGCGAATAGCGCGTCAAATTCGCGCCTACCGCATCTAGTTATACGCTTGACCACTTTGAATCCATTCGCGGGTCAAGTGCGAAATTGAATCGTCTGAATCGAAACCCGTTGGCGGCCATCTTTTTTTATGTTGATCGAGCATTCATCGAGAGAGTCACCGCTCTGTATTTGCTCTGGATAGCATATATTCTGAATACGAGAGCAGAACGGCAGGGTAGGGGTCATCGTCGCCGTATTTGTGTCCACCAGACCCTTCAAAGGCGAACCCAGTGTGGCGAGTTTCAGCATTTGCTCGCTCCAGGAGCTGCGCCTGGATGACGGTCGCTGTCAGCGGTACTTCCGCCTGTCCCGCGCCCAGCTTGATGACCTGTGGTCCCGCATCGGAGCGAGGATCACCCTCGCCCTCATCCACCTAATCTGCCATTTATTTTTGTTTTGATGATAAATGGAGCCAGCCTCCAAAAGTGATTAACCTGTCCTGTGATTTTTCTCTCTCTCACACACATCACTGTCCAGACACGAATGTTGGTTGTCTTTACATTATAATAATATTTCATATAGGCCTAATCTAGATATGTAATAAATAGCATTCAATACAAAATGAATATGTCTCACAGGCCTATATTGAAATCAAGTTTTATGTGATAAAATATTTGCTTTGTTGTGCATTAGAACCACCGTCAAATTACAAAATATTTTATTGAAGCATCCAGATACTTCACCAGGTGACAGCAGCAAGCAGCTAGGCTCCTGATTGGTTAACGCGGCGCGAATTAACGCAGAAGTTCAAATTTTTCAACTCGGGCGGCAGACGCGAATTCGCTCAAACGCGTGAATGCACAAAATGCACCATTCACGCGTAACGCGCCAGACGCTCAATTCGCGCGAACGAGGCGTATTCGCGTCTACCGCGCCCGCGCTCTACGCCTCATTCGCGCCGCAGGAATTTTTTACGCACGTAACGCGTCTTTGCATTGACTTAACATTGAAATCACTCGCGCCTGACGCGCTATTCGCGTCCGGTGTGAACGTAGCATAAGAAACACATAAAAAGAACACGCATGTGCGTTATAGCTCGCTGCCACATCACAAATGGTGAATCTATAATTCTTTTTCTTTATACTTAAAACATTTTCAGACCTTCTTTCTAAAATAATTGAATGGATGCTATCTTTTGAACTCTTGGCTTGAAAACAAACTGAGGTTTCTACCCTTCTTTCATGATTTTTCATGTTCATCGCTATTTCAAAATAAAGGTCTAAACACGCCTTAGGAGTATGAAAATATTCTTGTTGCAAATTGATAAATTACGGCTCCTCTGTAATTTATTTTGAAAATCAGTCACCAAATATGGAAACTAGAGATTGTACGCTTTCAAATGAGATTAGTTTAGGTTTAGTATAGGCTATTACTGTTTTAAAAATGTAATGGATTTGGGCCGGTGACACTTATTTATTTATTTTTATTTAAAAATTTTGTTTTTAAATTTATTTACATTTTTATGATTTAATTGTTCGCTTGCAGTTCACTCACCAACCACCAGGGGTTTGCGAACCCTTTTTGAGAAACCCTGTACTCTACATCATGTGTGTACTAGTAAACAGTGACCCGATGACCTTTAGGATACAGATGAGGTGAAATGTGTCTCTCACACTGATTTAAACGTTCGTCGGCTTTCTGATGGACATCACTCGAACTCGATGACCCATAATTCTCATTAATACTCGTTCACCCCGCCATCATGTCATGTATCATCTGGAGAATATATAACTATGTCTGTATTTCCTTTGGAAACCATTCAGTTTTCTTTATTAAATGACGAAGGGGGACGTTAGCTAATGTGTTTATGTATTTAATCTCATTATTGTGTTCGGCACTGATCCAAACACCCCATCCTCCGGTGATTTTCCTTCATGTTTGTGTGCTCTATCAGGAAAAATAAACTCTAGAGTTGAATTAGAAGAAACTCCGGCTGATGTACGGCTGCATTACGTGAGATTTGACATTAAACGCAGTTTCTAAATAGTTTTCTCTGATAGATCACCAGAGTCCCGCTGTGTTTCAGACATATTCCTGCACGTATATTTCTCTTTAAAACTGATCCGGTTTGACTTCCTGAGAGGAGCCGTCTGATTAAACGAGTTCAGGCCCTTTAAAACAAATGAGTCTTGCTCTTTCAATGGAGCGCTCCATTAATTAAAGCGGATTCTTCCACCGGTGCTCGTGTTCGGTTTCTCTATTACACAGATGATTAATATTGTTTAATATTATTCCAGTTCTGATGTGATTGGAACATTGTGAGCACATGGTTTTAGTGCAGCATCTGAAAAATAAAATCAATACTGAATATGAGGCGTAAAGAGAGACTTTTTGGGTGAATTTATGTTTGGGGTTGGGAAGTTTTTTTTTTTTTTAAATGAATCTCTTCTGTTCACCAAGGCTTGATTTATTGTAAAATGCAGTGAAATATTATTGCAATTTAAAATAGCGTCTTACTATGTGAATATGTTTTAGTGTAGTTTAGTGTTGTGATCAAAGCTTGTAAATCCTGAAAAAATTGCATCATAAATTCCACCAAAATATTAAGCAGCACAACTGTTTTCAACACTGATAATAATCATAAATGTTTCTTGAGCATCAGATCCTCATATTAGAGTGATTTCTGAAGGATCATGTGACACTGAAGACTGGAGTAATGATGCTGAAAATACAGCTTTGATCACAGGAATAAATTACACTTTACTATATATTCATATAGAAAACCGTTATTTTACATTGTAATAATATTTCATAATTTTTACTGTATTTTTGATCACATAAATTCAGCTTTCATCACAGGAATAAATTACACTTTAATATATATTCACTTAGAAAAACGTTATTTTACCTTGTAATAATATTTCATAATTTTACTGTATTTTTGATCACATAAATTCAGCTTTGATCACAGGAATAAATTACACTTTACTATATATTCACATAGAAAACAGCTGATTTACACTGGAATAATATTTCACAATATTACTGTATTTTTGATCAAATAAATGCAGATTTGGTGAGCAGAAGAGACATTTAAACGGTATTTTTTTTTAATGTATTTCTTCATATAGTAAATGAAGCATTTTCAGTGTCACATTACTTTTAATGACAGTTATGCATGTTTCTGGGAATATAACAATCCGCATAAAATTAAATGTTCAATTTGAAATAATGTATCATTATTTATTTGCTACGTTATGCAAGTTTTTTTTCATGTTACAGTAATGAGAACTGAAGGGATAAATTGTGCTTAGTTCCAAATAACGTCACAATAGACTAGAGAATGTTACTTCTATGTCATTTTTAAAGAAAGTGTTGCTTTGATGCTAATTTTCGCTGTTTTTCCTCCTGTCCTCAGTTGAAGTGGAAGTGTAAAAAAGACGATGCCAGTAACGCCGGCTATTCTCACGAATGTCTTCAAATCCTCTTTCAGAAGGTGAGGAGTCTGCTTACCTGGGCTTTAGGAGAATTGTTTGATTGTTTTTGAACGGCGAGTGCTGGACTGGGTTAAAAACAACCCAAGGGCTGGGTAAATATAGGACAGAACATATGTTGGGTCAAATTTGTCCAGCAAATTGGGTTATTTATTAACCCAGCATAATGGGTATATTTAACACAGCATAGTTGATTCATTTTTACTATAATACTAGCATCTTCTTTTATTTCACTTGCTTGCATGATGATTCCTTTATTTTCAAACATATGTTACAATATAGTATATTTTATTTAATTTTTAATACATATTGCCAACATTTAAGCTAGTTTAACAAATATTAGAAGTAAAAATTAAACATTTAGAAGTAATTCAAGTGTAATCGACCCTACTCTGTTGTCCCGTCATCCAAGTGGATGCTGCACACCGGTGGTGGTTGAGGAAAGATCCCCTGATATGATTGTAAAGAGCTTTGTGTGTACTGTAGTACATATGAAAGCGCTATATAAATGCCTCATCATTCATTCATTCAACTTCTAACTTCAGACCGCCGTCCTGTGTTTCACTCGTAGCTGAAATATGCGACGACAGGCTCCATAACCTGTCCATAAGAAGACATGCACCTATTTGACGGAGCCGCACTGCTGTCTCCGGAAGAGGTCACAAAAAGCCCACGATAAATAACTCAACCCCTGGGTTGTTACGTCTGACCCAAGATCTGGGTTACACAAGAAAACTACCCATACACTGGGTTGTTACGTCTGGCCCAAGATCTGGGTTACACTAGAAAACTACCCAAACACTGGGTTGTTACGTCTGACCCAAGATCTGGGTTACACAAGAAAACTACCCATACACTGGGTTGTTACGTCTGACCCAAGATCTGGGTTACACAAGAAAACTACCTTTACACTGGGTTGTTACGTTTGGCCCAAGATCTGGGTTACACTAGAAAACTACCCAAACACTGGGTTGTTACGTCTGGCCCAAGATCTGAGTTACACAAGAAAACTACCCATACACTGGGTTGTTACGTCTGGCCCAAGATCTGGGTTACACAAGAAAACTACCCATACACTGGGTTGTTACGTCTGACCCAAGATCTGGGTTACACAAGAAAACTACCCATACACTGGGTTGTTACGTTTGGCCCAAGATCTGGGTTACACAAGAAAACTACCCAAACACTGGGTTGTTACGTCTGGCCCAAGATCTGAGTTACACAAGAAAACTACCCAGGGCTCTAGAGTGCGACCAATTTGGTCGCACATGCGACCAAAATTTGTAAGGGTGCGACTAAATTTTTTCCTAGGTCGCACCAGTGCACCTAATAACGTTCTCGCATGATCGCATCCGTTGCCTCTCCACAAACGAGTCTTTTGTTCTCCTTGCACGCATGGTTGGATCATATCGTGGTCTAAACCAATCAGAGATAGAGATTGGGAGGGTCTTTGCCTCTGATTGGCTGTGGTTATGCTCCGTGCTGAAAATGCTCTAAAATGCTCTGTGCTGTGTGATTGAAATAAATTGCGACATGAGCACCAGAGAATCAGTTACGGCAATCAGCAGCATCAGCTAAATAAACGCAAGAAAACAGACGACGAAGAAACTTTTAAAAATGTAGGCTACTTGAACTAGGGCTAGGTGAAAAATATTGATTTCTCGATTTTAATCGATTCTCATTTTTACGAACCGGTTGGGCTATGCTGTTTTCAGTTGATGAATGAATGGAACATTGTAGCGAGCATCCCATCCAATAAATCGCAATAATCTTTGTGCTTTGTTACTATTGATATGAAACAAAGTCTCAGATTTCAAATTAGGTCCATTTTCTTATGAAATTCAAAAACATAAATAGTGTGTTGAGTCAACGCTGTGGCGTGAGATCGCTCTGGCTCAGCTCAAGAGAAGCAGCAGCGCGGCGCGCACATGATCTTCTCTTCCGCCTTAATAATACCAGTTACAGCGCGAAATAAACATGAAAGAGCATCTGAAAGTGTGCTAAAAGATAGAGTACAACTTATCGAAATCCGTATCTTTCACATGGAATCGCTCAATCAGTGTTTCAACCGTGGAAAGACATCAGTAAAACGCTTGTAAACAATGTAATGTAACGTCACATTTAACTTACCTCAGAAAAAACATATCCAGTGCCCATAAACTCGTTAGCTAGCTAGAAAAATTAACTCTAGAGAGGAGCATTTTGCCAAATATATGCACCATATTGCATATTCATTATAATTTTTAATGTTTTTCAATATTTAATGCATGTTGTTTGAAAAAATCTGGCAAGTTTTTATGCAGCCACCATTTAAATGTTTATATTTCATATAACTTTATTATTATAAAAATAAATAAAAGTGTAATTTAGGTGTTTGTGGACAAATCAGGTAATTTTTACCTTCAATATTATAGTAGGCTAATGAAGCATAGTGGGCTACAACTGACTCCCAATTTACAGCATTAGTTAAGAGATTTGTTTTCCTTGAGAAAATTTGCCATGTATTGTACCTGATATCCAAAATAATCAATATTGAATCGAATTGTGAAATTTGTGTCAATACCCTGCCATAACTTGAACAATGTAAAAACAGCACTTTAAATGTTTTTTTTTTTTTTTAAGATTTATATTTTTATATACAGTATAATTGTGCTAAAAATAAAAAATAAACTACACCTTATTATTCTTATTCTTGTTTAAAAGCATTTACATAATATATATGAATGTATATGGAGCGTGATAAAAAGGTGTCCTTGAAATTGTGGCGTTAAAGGCGACGCGAGACGAGGAAAAATTTTAGTGCACCTAAATTTTGTGCTGGTGCACCTAAATAAAAAAGTTAGGCGCACCAGTGCAACCAAGGCAAAAAGTTAGTCTGGAGCCCTGCTACCCATACACTGGGTTGTTACGTCTGGCCCAAGATCTGGGTTACACAAGAAAACTACCTTTACACTGGGTTGTTACGTCTGGCCCAAGATCTGGGTTACACAAGAAAACTACCCATACACTGGGTTGTTACGTCTGACCCAAGATCTGGGTTACACAAGAAAACTACCCATACACTGGGTTGTTACGTTTGGCCCAAGATCTGGGTTACACAAGAAAACTACCCAAACACTGGGTTGTTACGTCTGGCCCAAGATCTGGGTTACACAAGAAAACTACCCATACACTGGGTTGTTACGTCTGACCCAAGATCTGGGTTACACAAGAAAACTAACCCATACACTGAAAGAAAGAAAGAAAGAAAGAAAGAAAGAAAGAAAGAAAGAAAGAAAGAAAGAAAGAAAGAAAGAAAGAAAGAAAGAAAGAAAGAAAGAAAGAAAGAAAGAAAGAGAGAAAGAAAGAAAGATACGCTTGTTCCCCCGGTCCGCGCCCCACACCTGAACACACACGCACAGACACAGGCACGCACACACACACGCACAGACACACACACACGCACAGACACAGACACGCACACACACACGCACAGACACAGGCACGCACACACACACGCACAGACACACACACACGCACAGACACGGACACGCACATGCACGCACACGCCAAAAAAATTCTTTTAAGGTCCTTTTTTCATAACATACCTTAAAATAATATATAAAAAAAAATAAAAAAAAATAAACATGCCAAGAGGGGATCTGCAACTCTGACCGATGTCTACCTATCCAACAGGGGACTCCTATAGCCTGCAATGGAACTGTGTGTGTGTGTGTGTGTGTGTGAACAGTGAAGTGAACATCCTGGTTACGCGTATGCAATGAAATTGTAACATTATCTAGCCATTTGGCTGGTGGTCGAAAAATATAAAATAAAAATAGACAGAAATACGAGTAGAGTGCAGTTTCCCCAAATTCAATAAAAGGAATCAAAACTCCACAAAGAAATTAATTTAATGCTGTATAGTATATTGGCAACACTTTAAGTTAAAATACACAGACACGTGGAACAATAACACACATGATCCTTTATTGTTAAAGAGAACATCACAAAAGCAAACGTTAAGAACAAACGTTTACAGTGAAGTAGGAGACCTCTCGTGTTCAGCACTTACACTTTTATAATGAACAACATTTACTCATTCAAAGATTCAGAAGTTTTTAACGAGGAAGGAGGAGCAAATGTAATTTTAAGGATTTTTAAACCAGAAACAGGACTAAAATATTTCAGTATTTTATGTCTTAAACGAGTAACACGCAGGTGTGTGTCAGGAGAGCATCAAATATACATGTAGATCACAAGATGAGAGTAAATACGTTAAAATATTACAATGGAAGTTTTATCAACACTTTTTTTTTTTATTAAGTTACTATATGGTAAATTAAAAGTAAATAACTATTTTATTTAAAAAAGTTTTAATAATTATTAAAACTATAATTATTATAATTTTTTAAAGATAAGTTTTGGCCCTTTTTAGGCCTTTATTGACAGGACAGCTGAAGACATGAAAGTGAAGGGGGGGATGACATGCAGCAAAGGGTCAAAGGTCGGGGTCAAACCCAGGCCCGGTGCATTGAAGAGTACACCTCTACACATGAGCGATCCCTTATCAACACTAGCCTGCAGCGGACGGTACAGTGAATGAACCACGGTCATGGATTAAAGAGTTGAGATTTTTCTTGATATTTGAAAAATAACTCTTTAAACCACTGATCGGTTCATAATTTGAGTAAACAATATCCATAAAAGCCGCCATAACTTCTTTTCCATAATTACACGGGTCAGGAGGAAACGAATGCACTTTAATTATACATCCTTCAATTTCACCATTATACATTTCACATACATTTTCTGAATTAAGGCAGAATAAAGCACCACATGAAAACACATCTGATTTGATCTTGTAGGCCTTGTATTTCGTCAGCACATGATCCAGGTACCCTGAATACTCATTGATTGCAGCTTCGATCTCACGAACACAGTCTGATGCGGGTTTTCCAGCCTGGGTCTCCAGCCGAGCCTCGTGGATCAGCATCTGCACGTGGAAGGCGGCTCCGTTGAC